GAACCAGCCAGACCTGGGTTGGCATCCTGCCTCCATTCGCTGTGTAATCTTAATGTCAGGGGCGGCAATTTTCTCACTTATTAAATGAGGATCAGGATGATGTTCAGACAGCTGTGAAAAGATTAAATGAGACTACACAGGTCTTTATTTTAAGAGTACCCGTCTCAAAATAAGCACTTCGTACACAGTAGTTATTAAATGAGAGCCTTTTGGGAGCATTAGGCAGTTTTGCTTTCAAGAGCCCCTTTTTCCTTACCAAATTTAACATTGTTTTCTGACTGTGTTGGCATAACGATAAGTATATTACTATTATATATTAAAACATTCCTTCAGCCTAAAAGTTTTTTTCTTCTGTTTTAAAATAAATTTAAATATTTTTTCGGGCCCCTAAGACTACCATGGGCCTTGGGCACTGTGCTGTCCATGCCTGATGGATAAGCCTGGGTGAGTGAGATCAGCTCTGGTTCTTCCCTCTGTCCTTTCAGTGCTATTAAGTGCATTTTTGGTTGTTGTTTCTCTAACCCTCAGGATATACATTGTCCTTATACTTGCCCCTTCCTCCATTCCATCCAGGCCACCCATAAGGTCTTCATTCCCCACCATTCCCCTGATTGTCTTATTCCCTGAGGACCACTCTTGGCCTGGTAAGGTGGCATTGAATTTTCTCATGAACTCTTTCTCACTAAGGTATTAATGACTAACTGTGTTCGTCCTCTACTCCTGCTAGAATAGTAGCTTTTTATCACAGAACTCTAGGTGGAGAACTGTATATGGCTCAATACAATTCAAAGCCATGTGTCTGAACCCATAGAAGTAGTATGGTGATGGCCAGAGGGAAGTGTGGAGGCAGGCACTGGGTGGAGGCAGGCAAAGTTGGAGGAAGAATGGGGACATATGTAATAGTGTCAAAAAAAAAAAAATAATGTGGCCCAGTCGGCATTGCTCAGTGGTTGAGCATGGACCTATGAACCAGGAAGTCACGGTTCGATTCCTGGTCAGGACAAATTCTTGGGTTGCGGGCTCCATCCCAGTGTGGGGTGTGCGGGAGGCAGCTGATCAATGATTCTCTCTCATCATTGATGTTTGTATATCTCTCTCCCTTCATTTCTGAAATCAATAAAAATATGTTTTAAAAAAGAAAAAAATGTGAACTCTGATGAAAACCTAGAATGGGAGTTCCAAACACAAAGCCATGTATTTGATGATGAATATTTAGTTCAACAAAAAAATACTTCAAGCTAAAGGTTGAACTTTGAGAATCATTTACATTGTATTGTTCCAGTAGCTGGTGCCTAATCAGCACTCAGTGGGTCTTGATGACACAACCTTGATTAGAAACTTCTACAAAACAGGACACAGACTATCTCCACAATTCTCTTGATATAGCATCATACTCAATGGAGTCCTAATGGAATCCTTTGATTCATGATTTGTCTTCCACAGCATCACTAAGGAGGACTTCTACTCCCCATGTCAGTCATTTATCCAGCTGTACCTGGTGTCACTCCCTCGGTGCCTGTTATTTTCTATGTTCAGGGGGGAAAGTGTTCTCAGAGGTAATCCTATTTATAAAGAAGGGAACTATTGCCCACAGAAGTAAAATACTAGTAACTTGCCTAGAATAGCAAAGCAACTTAATGTCGTGTCAGGACTGGTTCCCAGTCCTCCTCAATACATGGGTGTGGGTACCAGTTACCTCTGTCAGGGCCTATGGTACCATTTACTGCACAGCACAGGCCCTGCAGAGGGAATGCTTGGTTTGATTCTTGACTTTATGGCTTACTATTTGTGTGACCTTGAAATGTTACTCAATCTCCAAACCTCAGTTTTCTCATCTATAAAAATGAGGGGCAGGTAAGAAATACAAGCATGTGCTACAGAGCGATGTTTGGGTAAACAACAGATCACACATGGGAATGGTGGTCTCATATGATTGTAATACATTTTAAACAAAAAATTTGCAACGTGAAGAGTAAAGACTGGACTCTACTACAATTTTGCCAGTTCTGGGTGGTTTAAATAGGCAAGGAGGCTCTGCATACTGTCCACCCGCCCCGTGTGCCTGCCCACTGCCTTGGCTGGAGTTGGTGAGGGAGTGAGAGGAGCCGAGGAGCCTGCACTCTTTCCTTCCAGTCCAGTTCCTTTCTCTCTCCCTCCCTCCCTCTTCCTCTCTCCTCCCTCCCTCCATCACTGAATCTCTCTCTTCCCCTTCTCCCTTTTATTATCATCTCTCATCTCAAGCTTTATCTCTCTGTGTCTTTTTTGAACTCTGCCTTCTCTCTCCTTCCCTTCCTTCCCTTTCTCCCTTCCTCCCTCCTTCTGAGACATATTCTCCCTCCCTCCAATGGTGCCTCCCTCCACGGCTTACCCTCTTATCCTCCCCCTTTGCACACTTTATCTTTTATAATGTATTTTTATTGTACCTTTTTCTATGTTTAGATACACAAATACTTACAATTGTGTTACAATCTCATACAGTGAGATTGAGAGCACTAGCATGCTATAAAGCACATGTGTCAAACACAAGGCCCGCGGGCCAAATCCGTCCCACCAGGCCTTGCAATGTGGCCCGCACTGCGCTGTCATCACTGCACTCCGCTGCGTTTCCATCACAATGACAGTTTATGACTGTTCAGTAAACCATTCGGCCCGCGATTTAGGCTGGATTTTAGATTTTGGCCCCTTCTCTGATTGAGTTCGACACCCCTACTATAAAGGAAGGCAATAAGCTAAACGATGTGTAGTAGACTACACCATCTAGCTTTGTGTAAGCACACTCTATGTTTGCACAATGACAACATCATCTAACAACACATTTCTCAGAATGTGCCCCCATTGCTAAGCAACAAATCACTATAGTTTCCATCTCACAGGGTTGTTGTGAGGATTCTTAGCATTGTGAGAATCCAGTGAGATTACTCCTGCAGGGATCTTTGCACAATGCCTAGCACACAGCACTTAATAAATGATTGCTCTTATTATTGTACTGATACAACCCTTGCTAATTCTATCACTGTCTCTACAATCCTGGTGGCTTGTACAAAGTGCTAGCGCTGCTTCCTAGAGTATGCACTGCACTGCCCAGGGAGTGGCCACGGCAATGGGAGAATCTGGCAGAACCGGTTTTTGAAAGCAGGGGAAAATAAATCAAAGGTGATAACCCAAACCTGGGGGAAAGAATGTACCCCTTTGTTTGTTCTCTATTAGTTGTGAAAGAGCCTTTACCATGTAACATATACTGAAATATTTAAATCAGTGTGGCCACTCTTGGGGTAGCATGGCTGACCTCTTTGGTCTGTGCTCTTTCTGACCTCATGAGGACAGACAGTGGCAACTTGGAGTTTCTGCTAAATGGGGTGATGGCTGACCAGTGTTCTGTGATGACATTGTCTACATTCGTGAGTAGACAGGATTAGGAGTCCCGAAACACTCAGAGAAGAGAGGGAGGAGCTTCACACCCAGTACAAATTATACCCTACCCCTTGCTGCACATTGCTCATCACTTACTGTGAAGTCACATGGGACTTCATTGAGAGTCTTAATTGAAAATAGAAGAAGCCCAACTCATATAAGCTTAAGCATAAAGGGGGATTTAGTATAAAGATTGCAAAGTATCAAGGACGACAAGGAAAGTTGCAAAGCTGACCTGGGATTGAATCAGGCCCCTAAATGCTATCAAATCTTGTGTCTTTCCACTATACTTCCTTGTTCTCTCTCTGGACTTCCTTTCTCTATGGTCAGGTGGACGTAATGGAACAGCAGCTCACACGTTTTTTTAAATCACTGTGCAGCCACCCAAAGAGAGCCATAGGATTACCAAGGAAGGAGCTGATTGGCTCAGCTTGGATTGGGTTCCTTTCTCTGATTACCAGTTAGCAATGGTAAAAGGCAACACATGGCACATCTACCATAACTATATACCACCTGTGAATGAGGAAAACCACAGATAAAGAGTTACTGAAACAGGCACTGATGACTAGAAACATCATGCTCACATTAGGTTCTGTGCTGCATCCTGGCCATTCCCAGATTCCTCATCATTTTAGCAGAGATCCAGGATGTCTCTGTGCTCACTTCCCTCTGCCCATTCTCCTGGGCAAATTCTAACCCCTTACCATGCCAATTCCAGCATTATAATATAGTGGAAGTGACACAGGCTTTAGAACTAGACAGACCGTAAGTAAAAGCCCAGGTCTAGCACTTCCTAGCTGTGTGACACTGTGCAAGTTACTTAGCCTCTCTGAGCCTCGCTTTACTTATCCATAAAGTAATACACATCTAATCAGTTGTTGCAAACACTGAGGAAACAAATCCCCAGGGAAATCTGTGCTGAGAGTGTCTCCGATGATAAATGATAAAATCATGGTTTCTGTGCACCCACACAATGTTGCTGCATGGGCTCAACTGCAAAGCCACAGAATTACAGGAGGAAGAGTCGATGAACATCAGATAGCATATCTCCTTGGGCACAACAATAATTCCAATACTTACGTAGAGGATAATAGCAATGAAAGGGTTGAATCTGTGGGGGGAAAACACAAGTAGAAATTGTATCCCAGCTTTATACTTTTCTGGGTTTCCCATCTTGGTCAAAGCTGTGTTCATGCCAGTCACCTGTAGGTGTGTGGGGTTATGTGTACAGGCATGTGGAATATTTTGACCTACAAGAAAAAGCAACAACACTGTGGTGATGCACTGTAGATATTATCAATAGCTCCTGATGATCTATGCAGGATTCTTCATCCATTGGCCTATGTCACTATCATGGAACCACAGTGACCTCTGACCACTAATTGATCTGCTCCTCCAGAACCATTTTATTTTGTTCTGTTTGTGCTACTGCGAGTTTCATCATATTCCAGACTCGGCTTCATTGGTGCTTCTTTTTTAATTCTTCCTGTGTGTAAATGGAAGAAATGTTTAAAAATTATGTCGCTTTTGAAAAGAAGCACATCTGGATTCATATCTCATTTTATCTTTCTTTCCCTCTTGTCTTTCAGCTCCAGGGTTCCTTGAAAAGAAAACAGATAGTCAATCTGTCTCCTGCCAACAGCAAGAGGCCCAACGGCTTTGTGGACAACTCCTTCCTTGATATCAAAAGAATCCGCGTCGGGGAGAACCTCTCTGCAGGACAAGGAGGTCTCCAAGTAAACAATGGACAAAGTCAGATTATGTCAGGGACCTTGCCCATGAGCCAAGCACCCCTGAGAAAGACTAACAATCTGCCTCCCCACACACATTCTCCTGGCAATGGCATGTTTAACATGGGCTTGAAAGAAGTAAAGAAGGAGCCAGGGGAGACTCTGTCTTGCAGTAAGCACATGGATGGCCAGATGACCCAGGAGAATATTTTTTCTAATAGGTACGGAGATGACTCCGGAGAGCAAATGATGGATCCTGAACTGCAGGAACTGTTCAATGAACTGACCAACATATCTGTTCCTCCAATGAGTGACCTTGAGCTGGAGAACATGATCAATGCCACCATAAAGCAGGACGATCCATTTAACATTGACTTGGGTCAGCAAAGCCAGAGAAGCACTCCCAGGCCCTCCATTTCTATGGAGAAGACAGTGATCAAAAGTGAATACTCACCTGGTCTGACCCAGGGGCCATCGGGCTCTCCTCAGTTGAGGCCCCCATCAGCCGGCCCAGCATTCTCCATGGCCAACACTGCCCTGTCCACTTCCTCCCCAATTCCTTCGGTCCCTCAGAGCCAGGCTCAGCCTCAGACAGCCTCAGGAGCAAGCCGGGCCTTGCCAAACTGGCAGGAAGTGTCCCATGCCCAACAGCTCAAACAGATAGCAGCCAACCGTCAACAGCATGCCCGGATGCAGCAGCACCAGCAGCAGCAGCACCAGCCCACCAACTGGTCAGCCTTGCCCTCTCCCGCTGGGCCATCTCCAGGTCCATTCGGGCAGGAGAAAATCCCTAGCCCTTCTTTCAGTCAGCAGCCATTCAGCCCACAGGGCTCCCCCATGCCTGGGGTAGCCAGCAGCAGCAGCCAGTCAAAAGTCATGGCTAACTACATGTACAAGGCCAGCCCCTCAGCCCAGGGTGGGCACCTGGATGTGCTTATGCAGCCAAAGCCTCAGGATCTCAGTCGAAGCTTTATGAACAGCTCGCACACGGCCATGGAGCCCCGTCTTGGCAATACCAAGCCTTTGTTCCATTTTAACTCAGATCAAGCAAACCAACAGATGCCTTCTGTTTTGCCTTCTCAGAACAAGCCTTCTCTCCTACACTACACCCAACAGCAGCAGCAGCAGCAGCAGCAGCAGCAACAGAGCTCAATGTCAGCTCAGCAGCAGCAGCAGCAGCAGCGACAACAGCAACAGCAGCAGCAGCAGCAGCAGCAGCAGCAGCAGCAGGCACAGCAGCCACCCTCTCAGCCCACCCAACCTCTGTCAAACCAGCCTTTGCTAAGGTCATCTTTGCCACTTCAGCAAAAGATCCTGCTCCAGAAAATGCAGAATCCACCCGTCACAGGACTGGGATACCAAGTCTCCCAACAACACAGACAGGTAAGGGCTCTGCTACTCCAAACACAGAGTGCCCATAGACCACGGGTCTTGGTCATTGTGTTTTGGTTACCATTATATTTATGTTGGGACAGGATCAAGACCCGTGATTCTGACGGATCCATATGAAGACCTCAAGGAGTCTTGAGCTAGTATTTCTTTATAGGGCGTTAATGTCATCGGGATCTGTAGGGATCAAAGGCTCTTGCATATTAAGAATGTTTCATTATAATCCATGCCTTTGGTTACAGGTCCAGTTGTCAATCAGATTCTGATATGCACATTGTTTATTCATCCAGTCCATAAATTGGTCATTAAGTCAACAAGTACAACCTGAACACCTACCATGTGCAAGATGTTGTGATTATGCTGAGTGTTGACATAAGGCCACAAGTGATATTGAAAGTATTTAACAACTAGTTTACCATCCATCCAACCAATTAAAATGTCTTAATGCCCCACCCATCATAATAGATCCTGCTGTGACTCCATGTTGGTGCTGAGTATTAACCTTAAATTAGACATGATCCTTGTCTGCAAGCACGGCCTCCAGAGGGAGACAGGCTTTAAAGACTATCATTTAATGAGAGGCAAGGGGAATGATGTGAGAGCACAGAGGTTGGGTATCTTACCCAGCAAAGGGAAACCAGAGCAGGCTTCTGGAGAAAGTAATGTTGGAGTTAAAGTTACATGTTAAAGGATGAAGTCATCATGATGATGAACAACAACAAAAATCTGTGGTTACCTTACATCCTGTGGTTACCATAAAATAGGGATTTTATTCTGCCCCAAACATGTGTATTTGAATAGTATGAAGAAAGAACTATGTATCTCCACAGCACATACTGATGAGGAAGCTCTAGTTCTTAGGGAACTTGAAAGAGGAAACTCTTCCTGGGGGAAAAAAAAAAAAAAAGAAAATAAGGGAGGGAGGGAGGGAGGGAGGGAGACAGGCTTGAGGAAAGGAACTTGAATGTTGCTTGTGCATGTAATTTGACAGGTCTACATTAGTGTCCAAGCACAAAGTCAGCAAATTACATGTCAAAACAGTATGTTGGAACAGCACAATGGCACAGAGCCTAATTTCAGTCCCATTCCTAGAGTAGTTTTCATGGTCACAGCCCAGAAAAGAATGCCACAAGCACCACAGACTGTGGCCAAGCTACCCTTTGCCCTAGATGTGAGAAAACTAGACTCAACTAGGATCCTAGAACTGTGTATCAAGTAAAGCGTTTTCAGTTCTTGTTTAAAGAGTGATCTATATTTTAATTGTAGATTATGAAGAATGGACTTATTAAGAGTCATGTGTACATTTTAGAAGGTTTTGTTTTTAATATGGGTAGTTTGGGGATCATTTAAAAACAAATGGTACTGTGGAACTACTTTCTCAGTTACATGTAGCCATATTGATTTGGATGAATTTAGGTTCAAATTCTTACCAACACTCACTAGGTACATGACTTCAAGCAAGTCTCTAAGCCTCCGTTTCCTAACCTTTAAAATTGGTAATAATATACCCTAGGTTTTTTTTTAATAATGAAATGATATAATTCTTAGTTTAGAGTCTAGAAAAAAAGTTGGCTGTTATTGTGGTTATCATGGAAAGAGCCATATATGATATCAAAATATTTTAACAAGTATTAGTATTATATAGGAAAGGCATTAGAGTAAGTCTCAAATTCTAACAAAATAATATTGGAGGAATAAAAGAGAACTATCACTATTTTTCCCCTCTAGCAATATAGTGAGTGGAGAGTGATTTATCCTCCCTGGGCTCAGACTTCAGACCATAAAAATGGAAATAATAAGTAATGACATATTAATGAGAGCATTTCTTGAGTGTTTACTCTATAAATGGCATGACTTCTGCCTCCCTTACTTGTGGTATCTCATTTTACCCGTCTGAGTGAAATACCATTATTCTCATCTTACAGGTGAGGCGCAGAGAGGTTAAATAACTTTCCCACAACCACACAGATAATAAGTAGCTGAGCCAGGTTTCTGACGGGTCTACTTTGAAGGGTTGTGCATTCAGCCACTAGGCTGTGCAGCTCTCAGGTAGGATTTGTTGAGAAATGAATGACCACCTAGAGATCGTTGTGGGATTCTTAAAAGGAATTCATCTTCTCATACTGGACAATATTTGCACAATATACATAGTTGATTAAGTCCTTTTGGGATAGAGAAAGTCTTAAATCTCTAACCTTTGGGGTTGTTAAAAGAATTAAAATAGTCTGTGTAACTGCCTAGTTGTAGACCTTCCTAAGGATGAACATTATGGAGCTAGTCAAAATAAATAATTTGCAGCAGGTGCCTCATCAGTCTTCCTGCCACCTCTGACATCTGTCCTGTTTCCAGCTCTACTGCTCACATCAACAACCATACACCATACTTCTGGTCCCTTAGTCCCCAACTCAGCTTCTAGGATCCAAGCACATTAATGGGTATTAATGGCAAACTCAACAAACATCTTCCAGTGTCTTGGGTGATTTTTACTTTTCCCAATGCATAGGATACATAGAATGCCCAGATAATTTTCACCTTTTTTGAGAAGGCTTTTCAAAAGTGTTAGAAATAGCGGTGGCATTCCAAGCGAAAGGTCTCTTCTAAATAGAAAGGTGAGTGGCTACCCATTTAAAGCTTTATTTCAGTTTTGTAGATTGAACCTGTGTCCCTTCCAGCTCAATGATTCTATGATCTATGACTCTGAAGTCTTTTGAGCCTGAGTTGGAAGTGAATGTAGCAGAGCTCTAGAGTCAAGTAAGTGTTGCCCTCTTGAAAGCATTCACCTTTGTGGAGTTAGGCCCATTCTAATAACGGTGCTATTCACTATAGTTACAAAGTTTTCCTCTGGGGATTTCCTTCAGAGCTTTTAGTACACTGAGTGGATTATTACCGATGCAATAATATTCATCCTGTCAGGGTTTTTTTTTTTTAAATAGTCAAGCTGGATAATGCTGCTTTGGGTCAAAAACAAGGAATAACTGATCTTATATGGCTGCATGTCAAGCTTGGTTTGTGAACTTTCTCTGAAGGCAATCAAGGAAATAAGTTCCTTCCCAAGATGATAATTTTGAGAAGCATCTTTCGTTTGGATGTAAATATTTCAAAGGTTTTTTTCTAATTTCTGTTGTTGTTAATCCTTACCAAAGATATTTTTCCCACTGATTTCTAGAGAGAGAGAAAGGGGAAAAGGAGGGAGAGAGGAAAAAAATTTATCTGAGAAAGACACATTGATTGGTTGCCTTCTGCATACACCCTAACCAGGCCTGGGGATCAAGCCTGCAGCCCAGGTACGTGTCCTTGACCAGGAATCATTGAACCTGTAACCCTTCCATCCAAAGGCCAGCCCTCTAACCACTGAGCAACACTGGACAGGTCAAGTTTTTCTAATTTTATTGTCTCATCCAGTATATTGCCAAGTATTCTCAACTCAAAGAGAATAGATTTAACTCCCCCATCCACAGTAAACAGTACACATATGTATTCTCATTTCAGATTCACTAAATCTCTGCTACTCATGATCAAAGACATGGGAGGGGGGATTGATAACTCAGCAACTCTTAAGTTTATCAACTAAAAGCATCCTAAATGAAAACAATAGTCGTGACTTTTTTCTGCTTGTCATACTCACTTTATGTCAAACACAGGAAGATTTACTGTGGGATTTGCTAATTGGAGCCTTTTAGCCTTGGAAATGCTGGAAATCTTGGCTTTCTGCTACAGAATGGTACACTGAATTTGTTCATTGGTTGCTTGTAATTTACCCAGTAGAGGGTGCACAGATGGCCTTCTGCTCAACTTTCAGAACTCAGACAGATCTGCTTGCTCAAGCAGAGGCTAAATTTGGGGGATTCCTAGGCCTCTCTCCCTTTGTTGGGTACCCACTTCTGCTCTCCTGGAAATTCCTAAGAGACAGATGCAGCATAATCGAATTGCTATAAACATCTTATTGTTCCATGCCTGGGGTGGTTTTGAGTAAAGCCCCTTCTCCAGAGACTTTGAGAACAAATGGCATTTGGCATTTCACAAAATGTCTTCAGCCACTCTGTCTTGCTAATGTTTGGGGCTTTTCAAATTGGAAAAGCTCCCGGCTATAATTTTCTTCCCTTTCTGATTTGAAGGTTATGGGAGAGGGCAAGAGCGGGATGTAATGCATGCAGGTCGAATCTATCTTCATGACTTGTTTAAGGTGTGAAAGAGTTACTGGCTGACCAGGACTCATATAAGAGTAGTCCGAAAGCACTGATCTCTTGAGTCAAAAAGTGATCTTTTTTTCAGAGCTTTTTAATTAGACACTTAAAAGTGTGACTTTTTTCCTAACATTAGATCCATGAAACTCAAGTGGATTCTATATTTGGTTTAGAATTCTCCCATCTCTAAAAATTCTGAGAGGGCAGGCAGCCAATGAATGGATGGTTTGTTATGACCGAAACATAAATTTGTACATTTCCTCCTTCGTTTAAAGCCAAGCTCCTCAATCATACATCAAGAACCTCACCACACTCTCTCTGCCTAGCCAAGTTTATCCTTCACTACTCTACATATCAACCCTGACTTAAATCAGGCAAGTCTCCTAATGTTCTCCTCCCCTCTTTTGGAAGGTAATTTTGTTTATGTCTGATCTTCAAGATTAACCCTCAGAAAACTGTTTCCCAACTTGTCTGGGTGAGGGTGGGGGAATCACTGTACTTTTCATATACTGACAATACTAGGTGTGTATAATGGCAGATTTAAAAAAAAAAACTTATATATTTTATTGATTTTTTTACAGAGAGGAAGGGAGAGGGATAGAGAGCCAGAAACATCAATGAGAGAGAAACATCGATCAGCTGCCTCCTGCACACCCCCTGCTGGGGATGTGCCTGCAACCAAGGTACATGCCCTTGACCGGAATCGAACCTGGGACTCTTCAGTCCGCAGGCTGATGCTCTATCCACTGAGCCAAACCAGTTTCGGCCATAATGGCAGATTTTGTAATCAAAGAAAACACGGTAATTTCA